GGAATGGACGCCCGAGCGATGGCCAGCACCACCATGCTTGGAGAACGTGGAGGGAGAGGCAGAGGACGCGCCCGCGTGCGCGGGCGTGGCGGCAAGCTTGGCCAGCAGGCGGAGGCCTCAGTGGCAGGAGGTGCTGTAGAGGTGATGGCGGCGCCGGGGCCACGGCCGCCGTGGTGGAGCGCCAGCATCCCCCCGCCCACGCTTGCTGTACTCGGCAGGCTCGAGGGAGTTCTGCTCCATCCGCGGGTGCCAAGCGGCGTCGCCCAGGGTCATGAGCCTCACGGAGCCGTGCCGGCGCACAGCCGTGGGTCGCCAGAGGGATGTTCCACGTCGTCTGCAGAGAGGATTGCACCCGTCGCAGGCGGGATGGCTGGGAGGACGAGTGGCGGTGGCGAGGATGCGCCGCAGTCTCTCGAGGGAGGCCCAGGGATGAGCGAGTCTAAGGCAAGCTTATCCCTGCGCGGCGAGCCGCTCCCGCGCGAATCCATGTTGCGGCCGTCGGTCCGCTCGAAATCCTGGCCGCGTCGGCCTCATGTGGCTGGCGGTGGGCGCTTCGTTGAGGCGGGGGTGCTTGGTCGCCTGGCCCGCGGGCCTGTGCGGGGGGCGGGCTCCCTGTCGTGGCTGCTACTGGCCTCAAGCAGCAGGGGTGGAAACAGGTGGCTTGCCGTTCTGGGCGTTGGGGCCTGTCCTCGTCGTTGGCTGCGCCGAGGTCCGCTCGTGAGGCTTCCGTGTTTGTCGCGCGGCTGCCGTCCCTGGCCTGGGGGAGGCTGCGCAGTAATGTGGGCGAAGTGCTCTCGACGCTCCCGCCACTGGAAGGGGATCATCGTTATCATCGTCATCATCATCATCATCATCATCATCATCATCATCATCATCAGCATCATCATCAACAGCAGCATCATCAGCCGTAAAAGCCTCATCATCGTCATCGGCATCATCGTCATCATAATCATCATCGTCGTCATCATCACCATCATCACCAGCATCATCATCAGTATCATGGTCACCACCACCACCATCAACATCATCATCACCATCATCATGATCACCAACATCATCAGCATCTTCATTATACTTCGCAACATCATCATCATCATAACCAGCAGCATCCGTAGCCATTTGGGCTCAAGCCATCTTGGCTCAAGTCAGATCGGACAAAGGCCTCTGCGTTGCTGCCCCGTGCCACAGCGTGCCCTCGAGGCCCCGGCTCGAAAGGATGGCCCGCTCCAGCTCGCTGCTGCTCGCCTGCACGTTTGCGGCCGCCCTGTTTGCGTGCCTCGGCTTGCACTCGCTGTGGTTTGCCGGCACGTCGCAGGCGCCAGCGCTGCGATCGTCGGCCCCAGCCGTCGCGAGGGCCGGCCTCGGCGGCAAGAACTACCCGCAGCCTCCTCCAGGCACCCTGCAGGGGTTCGAGCATGGGCGGAGTCGGCTGGCGGACAGCCGCACCGCGGGCGACGAGAAGGGTGTGGGCAACTCGGGCCCGGACGTCAACGTCGTGCTCGTTGCAACCGTGTTTTTCTTCCCCTCGGTCTACGCGAGCTACGCCGGCCTCTTGGCCTCTTCAGCCCGCGAGTACGCTCTCGTCGAGCCGATTTTGAGCGGGCGCGCGCCAGACGCGCAGGGAGGTTCTGGGACCCTCTCGGGCCGACACTTGCGCATGGCGCAAGCATGTTTCCATGCTCCAGCCGCACGCCGATTCGTTATCGGCGGTGTCTGATCGACCTCATGCTTTTAGCGCGGCCACGCCTCTGCTCAGAGCTGGGCGCCGGGTTGGCAGGCGCGGCGGGCGGAGGGTCAGAGCAGACCCGTCACGCCTTTCCACCGCGCGATCGCTCGCTGGCAACAAGAGGCATCCAGGCGATAGCTGCGTACCATCATCACCACCATAGTCATCATCATCATCATCATCATCATCATCATCATCATCATCAGCAGCAGCAGCAGCAGCATCAGCATCAGCATCATCAACAACATCATCATCATTATCATCATCATAATCGTCATTATCATCATCATCAGCAGCAGCAGCAGCAGCATCATCATCATCATCATCATCATCATCATCATCGTCACCAGAGTCATCAATATCATCATAAGCATCATCATCATCATACTCATCACCACCATCAGCATCATCGTCAACACTGACATCATCACCACCATTGTCCATTACATTACCGTCATCACCACAACCAGTTTCATCATCACAGGCAGCGTCCTAATCATCACCATCAGCAATATCAGCATCGCCACCGTCATCTAGAACTTCAGCCCAGCATCTTCATGATCACCAGCATCATCAGCATCACCATCATAAGCATTATGATCATCATCATCGTGATCATCATCATGTTCAGCATCGTCAGCATCATCACCATCATTATCACAGTCGTCAGCACCAGCATCAGCATCATCATCGTCACCATCATTGTTATCCTCATCTTCGCCATCACCAGCATCAGCAGCATCAACATCATTATCAGCATCATCACAAGCCTGACCATCATGACCAGCAGCATCATCGTCGTCATTATCATCATCCTTATCATCATCATCATCATCATCATCATCATCATCATCATCATCATCATCATCATCATCATCATCATCATCATCATCCTTATCCTTATCATCATCATAATCATCATCATCGTCGTCATCGTCATCATGCCCACCCTCCTCGCCTCCCCCGTCTGCCGCTCCTCCCCCTCCCAGCATCTCCCCCGAGAGGAAAGGAGGAGGAGGAGGAGGAGAAAGAGGAGGAGGCTGGTGAGGGACGAGGAGGAGACGGCGGCGAAGCGGAGGAAGCGATGGGGGGTGGGATGATGGCGAGGGCCGTGTTTCGGACGCTACTCGCGCTGCCGACCAAAGCTGAAGCGCCTTCGGGGGCTGGGTCGGAATGCTGCGCACTCTATCACAATACAGTCGGGGCCCTGAAGAAGGAACCCTTTTCGTTGGCGAGGGGCTCCGCGTTCCTTAAGTGTTTCGCAGCTTGCCTCAGGGTTTCCTTATGTTTCCGATCGGAAATCGAAGTTTAACTCATGGAACAAAAGGTCCTCGTCCCTTATTGAGGGTTCCTTAGGTCAAGCCCCCGACTGTAGCGCCATCCCTTCACACTGCGCTCGGCATGGTTCTACGCGCCGAGTCGGATGTCGACTCGGGCCCGGACGCCTCGAAATCGCTCGAAATCGCACGTCGCTGCGCAAATAGCGACCGGGCTCGGACGGGACCGGCATGCGCGCGGGGAAGGTCGGGCGGCCGTCGGGGTCAGGGGACGGCGCGCACGCCCGAGTTGCGCCGAGCTGGATCAGCTGTTCGGCATGCACGGGGGTCGAGAGCAGCCCCAGCTCTGGCGACGTGCCCTTTTCGTTGCGCACGTCGTCCGACAGGGTCTGGACATGCGCGAGTCCACCGCTCCTGGCCGGGCCGATGCTGGGCCCAGGGTCGGTGTTGTGCTGTGCTGTGCTGTGCTGTGTTGTGCTGCGCTGTGCTGTGTTGTGCTGTGCTTTGTTGTGTTGTGTCGTGTCGTGTTGTGTTGTGTTGTGTTGTGTTGTGTTGGTGTGGCCCCCTCTTGCCAAGCCGGGGGGGGCGTGGGCACTGCTCCTGGGCCCAGGAGGGGCTTGGCCAGGGGACGTGGATATGCACAGCTCCTCCTCCTCCTCCTCATCCTCCTCCTCCTCCTCCTCCTCGCTCTCCCTCCTACTCGCACTCCTCCTCCTCCTCCTCCTCCTCCTCCTCCTCCTCGCTCTCCCTCCTACTCGCTCTCCTCCTCCTCCTCCTCCTCCTCCTCCTCCTCCTCCTCGCCCCGCTACTGCAGGTGCGCGTCGTGTCGCCACGCCGCAACCTCAGCGCGGGAATCCAAGGTGGAACGCCCTCCTCTGGCCTGGATTCGGCCGACTTCGAACGACGAGCACGAGCGGAAAGTGCGCAGGGGCGGTGAGCCCTGCTATGCTCTCGGTGCTTTGGCTGTCCAGCCCAGCGTCGGAGTGTGCTTTGCTCGGTTTGGGGGGTATCCGCACTGGGGCCCAGGCCCCTCGCGGCGGGGCTCGCGTTCTCGGCCTGCGCTCGCGCGTGGCCAGCGGGGGGAGGGAGCTGGAGCTGGGAAGTGCTGAGACGGAGAAGACGAGGAGGAGGATAGGGGCAGAAGGGAGACGGGATGAGAAAGGAGGGACGCGGAGATAGAGGGTAGGATGAGGTCGAGGAGGAGATTGAAGCAAGGGTCAGGAGAAGGAGGAGAAGTTGGAGGACGAGAAGGAGAAGAAGGTGGTGGAGGAGGTGGGGGGGGGAAGCGAGGAGGAGGAGATGGAGTAGGTCGAGAAGGTGACGAGGAGGATGTGGAGAGGGAAGGGGAGGAGGAGGCGAAGGAGGAGGAGGATGAGAAGGAGGAGGAGGAGGAAGAGGAGGAGGAGGAGGAGAAGGAGGAGGAGGGGAAGGAGGAAGGGAAGGAGGAGGAGGAGGAGAAGGAAGCAAGGAGGAGACGAGGAGGAGGAGGAGCAGGAGGAGGAGAAGGAGGAAGAGAGAAATAGGAGGAGAGAGGGGAGAGAGGAGGAGAAGCAGTAGGAAGATGCAGAGAGAGAGAGGGATCGGGAGAGACAGGGACAGAGACAGACATGTGAGGTGTGTATACAAGTATCTACACAAGGAGGAGAGGAGGAGAAGGAAGAGGAATAAGACGAGGAGGAGGAGGAGGAGGAACGAGGAGGCGGAAGAGAAGGAGGAGGAGGGGAGAATGAAAGCACGAGAAGGCGGCGGAAGAGATGGGTGAAGTGTGGAGGCTATCCGACTGCCCCTCCTCAGAAGCTGATCGACCCATTCTCCCTTCCCTCCTCCGTCTCCTCTCTCCCCTCGCCCTTGTCGTTCTCCCGCTCCTCTCCCTGTTTCCCCCCCCCGCCATGACCCTCACCCTCCTGCTCGTCCACTTATACTCTTTCTCCGCGCTGTCCTCAGAATCCTGCACCGCCCCTCCACTTCCTCATGATGCGCCTCCTCCTCCTCCTCGCAGTCCGGCTCGAGTCCCGGCCCCACACACGTCTGTTGCATAAACCATCGCGTCAGACACATGTTTTGAGATTTGTACATCTACTATTCACAGCGCCGCCCTTAGTAGGCCTTGACCCCGCAGCCGATTGGGAGGGTGATCGGGATACTTGGGAGGATGATGAGAGAAGGGAGAGGAGGAAGAAGAGGGAGGAGGGAAGGACGAGAAGGAGGACAAGGAGAAGGAAGGGCTAGACTAAACCCAGCATGCATCAACGAGGATTCAAAGCACCCTCCCCCTTCCACAGAGGTCCCTACAGGGACCCGCTTCGTTGCGGAAAGACGGGCGCCCGATTGGCCCTTCATCCGGGTGAGGTCCCTGTGGAACAAGTCATGCCTTGCATCCTTCTGGTTGCCGGGAGTGCGAAGAAGTAGGATCATAAGGTGAGTGAGTCCAGCGGGAGCCTCGTGTTGAAAATGAGCCGCCCTTCATCCAGGTAGCTGCTGCGAAGATGTCACTGGCGCACAGTTTTGCAGGTCTGGTCAAGCAGTGTTGGAAGTCTCTATCGATGACTTGATTTTGAAACGATGCGCGCGCGGGGCTAAGGTGAAAGCCATATTTTGAATGCCGGCCGCCTCCCCCAGTGAACTCGCAGCTGCTTCTAAGAAGGATGCGCGCGGCGCTCATGCGGGAGACACATTACGAAAGCCAGTCGCACTCCATCCTAGGGGCTGTCAGATACATTTCCTCGCGGCACTGAGGCGAAAGCCAAGCTTCGACATCGATCCGCCTTCCATCGGTGTGCTTGCTGGGATGTGGCGCGACACATCCGAAGGATTCTGCCGTCGGCCGCGCCCCCCCCCCCGCCCCCCGCGCCCATCACTTCTAATTGCCTGCATGGCTGGGTTGATTCGATCCTTCTCCTCCTCCTCCTCCTCCTCCTCTCCTTCTCCTCCATCTCTTCCTCCTCCTCCTCCTCCTCCTCCTTCTCCTTCTCCTTCCCCTCCTCCCCCTCCTCACCCTCTTCCTCCCGCTCACAATCCTCCCTTTCCTCCTCCTCCTTCTCCTCCTCCTCCTCCTCCTCCTCTTCCTCCCCCTTTCCTCCTCCTGCATTTCCTGCTGCTCCTCCTCCTCCAGGATGAAGGGTTGGCAGGCTGGCCAGGTCTGTGGCAGGGCGGCTCGCAGGCCTGCTGGCTGGCTGGAAGGATGGCTGGACGGCCGGCGACTCTGGAGGGCGAGCCGATGTGTTGCCCAGGGGAGCGCGGCAGGGGGGGCGCGGACCCACCACGTGGTGGCGAGGGATCGCGGCCTCGGGGGCGCGGACCCATTGGTTCTTCACAGGGGATCGTGGCATCGGGAGTGTGGATCCGTGTTCGCTGCGAGGGACAGCGGCCTCGGGAGAGGGGGTCTGGCGCTTGCGGTCAGGATCGTGGCCTCGAGGGGGTTGGGCGCCCTGCTTTTTTACAAAGGATTGTGGCCTCGGGAGCGCGGAGCCATGGATCTTTACAAGGGATCTTGGACCCGAGAGAGTGGGTAACTGTCTCTTTGAGGGGTCGTGGCCTCGTCAGAGCGGATCTGTTTTTTTGTTGCGACGGTCATGGCCTCATGAGCGCGGGCGCATTGATTTTCGGGAAAGCGGACCCACCGTCGTTTGCAAAGCCAAGTGGCCGCCGGAGCGCGGCCCCATTGTTCTTTACAAAGGGATCGTGGGCACGGGAGTGCGAAATCATCGGTTTTGTTGCAAGGATCGTGGCCACGGGAGTGCGGATCTGGTGATTTTTGTTCATGGATCGGGGCTTCGGGGGCGCGGGCGCAGTATCTTTCACAAGGCGTCTCGGTCTCGGGAGTGCGGGTTCCTTTGTTGCTATGCAGGGTCGTGGCTCCGAAGGCCTGGTCCCACACGCTTCTTTTTCCAAACACAATACAGTCGGGGCCTTGAAGAAGGAACCCTTTTCGTTGGGGAGGGGCTCCGCGTTCCTTAAGTGTTTCAC